GAAAGGATCTGAAGGGCTTATCATGAAGGAAGCCCATAGGAATTCAAAATCTAAACAAGAGAAAGCAAAGATGTTAACCAAAAAAACCTAACATATATGTAAATGAGCACAACTCTGCTCTGAGCTTACCCTGAGCAGGGACCAAAGAATGTGGAGATGCAGTGAGTGGATCCATTCTCTTAGAAAGGAAAACTTTCCCCACCCGGATACTAAGTTCTAAAATTAATTGATCCTTGTGTGAAGTCTGCACAGAGGAGCTATTGAGCAATGTAAAGAACAACAGAGGAACAACGATCGTTCCTTATAGTAATTCTTAAAAGTTTAACTTGATGGTAGAGAATCTCCTGGGGCCCGTCAGCCTAATGATATTAGGTGGTATGTACTCTTTTTCCTTTTGACCATTATTTCTGACAGAGATTGCCTCTGGGTCAAGATACTGAAGATTTCTCTTAGCTTCTGCTGCAATGAGTTATCTTCTCCTTACAGAAAAGGCCCACATTTTTTTAAAAAACATTTTATTAGGGGCTCATACAACTCTTATCACAATCCATACACACATCAATTGTGTAAAGCGCATTTGTACATCATTCTCAAAACATTTTCTCTCCACTTAAACCCCCAACGTTAGGTCCTCATTTTTCCCCTCCCTCCCTGCTCCCCCCTCCCTCATGAGCCCTTGATAGTTTATAAATTGTTATTTTGTCATATCTTGCCCTGTCCGACGTCTCCCCTCACCCACTTTTCTGTTGTCTGTCCCCCAGGGAGGAGGTCACATACAGTCCCTTGTAATCGGTTCCCTCCTTCCTACCCACTCTCCCTTTACCCTCCCTGTTTCGCCACTCACACCACTGGTCCTGTAGGGCTCATCCACCCTGGATTCCCTGGATTTTCAATTCCTATCTGTACCAGTGTACATCCTCTGGTCTAGCCAGACTTGCAAGGTCGAATTCTAGTCATGGTAGTGGGAGTGGGGAGGAACCATTTAGGAACTAGAGGAAAGTTGTATTTTTCATCGGTGCTACATCGCCCCCTGACTGGCTCGTCTCTTTCCCGAGACCCCTCTGCAAGGGGATCTCAGGTAAGGCCCACATTTTAAAAACAAACAAATAAAGAACTCATTTTGGGGGGTAGCTGAATGGTTGCGCCTTAACTTCTGTTAAGACTTTTATCCAATAATGAGTTTTGAATTTCTTTTTTGGGTAATGAGACCAGAGACATCTTCCAGTCATAACTGGAATTTGACGAGGATCATTTGGTTCTTAAAAGAGCTTCCTCACCTTGGGAATGGCTCCGTCGTCCTCTGTACTTAGCATGATCAAATGCTGAAGTAAAAAAATTACTTGCGATGAAGAGACTAGATTTCTTTACAGTGTTATTGCCCCAGATGGTAGCTGCCAGCCAAATATAACTATTTCTTTGTAAAATTTAAATCCATCAAAATTAAGTAAAACTTTAAACACAGTCTCTCAGTCACAATAGCCACATTTCCAAATGTTCAGTAATCACAAGGGGCCACTGGAAGAGTATGGCTTCTAGAACATGGTTATCACAGGAAGTTCTCATGAGCAGTGCTGCTCAAGTGTCTATATGTGCCCCATACCCCTACCTCTACCCTCTCCTCTGCTCCACCCCCTTGGCCCCCAACAACTTCCTCTGAGACTGACCTCCACAGCTCCTACAATCTGGGGAAACAAATTATCTTTCCAACAACTTCCCTGGTATTGGGTATGGAGAACTTTCCACTGGCCCACTTGATATTTCTGTGCTACAGGGTGCTGCTTGCCCACCTGGCAAACCTATAGAGCCAACTAGCTTTTATTTTCCCGATAAGTACTGAGCCAACGATCTCAGACCTGTAGAGACATACAGGTCCGTGTGTGTGTGTGTGTGTGTGTGTGTGTGTGTGTGTGTGTGTGTGTGTTTTAGTTGCTTCAGAGATGATACCATCCTGGATGGGCTTTTTAGTAATGTTCTTGCTGTCAGACCTCACAGCAAACTTGTTGGGGTTTGTAACAGTGTCACCATCTTGCTGACATTTTCCACAAAGAGGTTGCTTCCTTTTTCAGTTTGTCTACAGGGGGTACCCCCACCCCAAATGGAAAAAAGCTCCCCTCTGCAGACTTTTCAGTAGTATGTGTTTTTCCCACTGGGCAAACCTCCCGCAAATCACTCTCAGTTAGTGCACACAGTGGCGTTGCCTGGGAAGGTTCTCTCTGGTCACGGTGAATTTTTCTGTAAAAGCAGGTTCACTGGAACCTTGTTTTTGGTGATAGCTGATTTAAGAGAACAGTGTAGGGCTGTGAAATTGTTTCCTGCCCTGGAAAAACACCGCCAAAACTGTTGTGATGTTGAACACAGCTTACAAAGACATCGCTATGGGAAAATCTCAAGTGTACAAGTGGTTTGCTCATTTCAAAAAAGGTGAAATGTTGATTCATGATAAACCTCGTTCAGCTTCCTGAAGGATGAAAATGTTGACTCCTAGTGCATTTGGAATTTGATCCACCGGGTCAGACTGTTAATCAAGCTTTCTATGTAGAAGTTCTGAAAAGATTGCCTAATATTGTACAACAAAAAAGGCCTGATTTGTGGCAGACAGGGACTGGTTTTGCCACCACAACAATGCACTTCTTCACGCAGCCATCTCAGTGCACCAGTTTTGGGCAAAAAACAGCATGCCTTGCTTGCTCCACACACCTCACTCACCTGACCTCACTCTGTGTGACTTGTTTTTCTTTCCGAGAATGAAGAGGGACATGAAAGGACAGTGATTTGATGACAGAAGAGGTGGGAAAGAAAAAAGACACAATGAGGGAGGTGCTGTCAGCCATCCAAACAGATGAATTTGAAAAATGTTTCCAAGAATGGAATCTCAGATTTTGCAAATGCATTAAGTGTAATAAAGAATACTTTGAAGGTGATAAGGTTGGTTTGTAAAAAAATTTAAATACATAGCTTTGAAAAAAAAATCTGTTTTTTGGGGGGGGTATTACCCCCTCGTATGTCCAATCCCATCATGCACCAAGTTGCTATGAGATATGGCTAACAGCAACCATTTGTTTGAAAGAAACGTTTTTCTGAAATCTGATTGATTTTAGTGTATCCTTCTGGTTGTCTTTGACTGCTGTTAAAAGAAGAGGGTGGGTGGGGGGGAGGGAACAAAAGAGGAGCTGATGCCAAGGGCTCAATGGAAAGTAAATGTCTAGAAAATAATGATGGAATATATGTATCAATGTGTTGGATACAATTGATGTATGGTTTGTAACAAGAATTGTAAGAGCCCCCCATATAATGATTAAAAAGGAAGAAGAAGAGAAAAAAAGATGTCCATTTTTTAATGTTCTTTCTACTTGTGAATTCTAAAATAATCTAGCACTGTGTACATGCTGGTAAGGGCCTCTGTGATACTCTCAGATCTCTTGGGAATGCACCAAGGCTGCTTTGACCTTGAGCACTGCCATTGTACCGGGGTCCACTTTTCCATAGCACTGAGGTACATCTCTTCTAGAGCGTTATTCCATAGTGCGCTCTTGTAGAGAAATGTGTTGAATAGTTTATTTGCCAGTGTTGTCCTATTGCCTGAGTATATAAAAAAGTAGAGTTAACCTCTTTGCTGTATACAGAGTGTCCTGGAAAGTTTTCTTTTCCAATCAAGTTAAGCAGTTTTGGATCTTCCAGAACCATAGAAACCATCTACCGCTCCCTTTCTCTCCACTGTGCAAGATAGTCTGATTGAGCGGTAGAGCAGATCTCTGCTCAGAGCCTCAGAACCAAGGCTTTGTGCCCCCACAGTCGTGCCGTTTCAGGCTTGAGGCCATTTTCCAAGTTCAGAAAGGTTGGGATACTGGTTGTTGCAAAGCAGAGTGAGGGGGCGCAAGAACGGTACATTATCTTAATCTCTACGCTTGTGTAATATGAAAAATTAAAAATAAAGAGGAAAGAAATGCTTGCAACTGATCTTGGGGGAGGGAGTCGACCTGGGTAGCATTTTATCCAGTAGTTCATGTGGTCCCCACGAGCCAGGGTCCAAGCTATGGCAGCTAAGGACAATGACAAAGAGGTGTCACCAGCCCTTGGGGTGAGTTCTATGTACCTCTTTGACATCTTATTGAAACTAAGGTTTCCCCTAAGATTCATTAAGACATTTTTAGTTTTGTGTTCATTGACTATCAGAAGCTGAATAAACCAATGAGGAAAAGTTCTCCCTTATTTAACTGTATCAGTAAATTACCCCTCCACACCCTCTTTCATGCATCACAAGGGTCAGTAAGATGTTATCTGTTTATGTTTCCTTAGTCATTCGTGTACACACCCACCCTTTCTGAGCTATTCTGCTTTTATGAGTCTTGGAAGACAAGGCATGCTTTCTGGTCACCAGTCCTAGCAACTACTTTCCTTGTTTTGTCTTGTTTTTAGATCACGTGGGAGCAATGCTGAATAGCAGGAACTAGGTGAAAGAAAATAGCCCTGATGAATAGAGATTGTTCGTTTCCCCTATAGGCACGTTTGGGTAGCATTGATTCTACCAAAATTCTATTGTGATGTCCTCATTCATTAGCAATAATGATGTTCGCATAATGATCACAGCATGCACAAGCGCGAGTGCACACGCGTGCACACACACACACTCATTCATTAGTAATAATGATGTTCGCATAATGATCACAGCATGCACAAGCGCGAGTACACACACACACACACACACACACACACACACACACACACACACACGCCTCAGCTGCCAGTCGGTCTTCAGGCCGTGGCACGGGCGCCTGATTGGCTGCCTCTGTTTACTCTCCGGCCAGATTCCTCGTAGCAGAGGGCAGGCCGTCCGTGCCTGCAGCCGATTGGCCGGCGCTGCTCGGGGCCCGCCCCTCTTGTCCAGGGCCCCGCCGCGGCGGGGTCTGCGCGGAGTCCTCCCCCAGCCCTCCCGCTGACACCCATTCATGAATCCGTGACGTCAGCCGGCCCGGGGGCTTCTGCGCCGGGGGCTGGAGGATTGTGTGGGTGGACCCCACCGCCCCCGTGATCTGGCTCATTCCGCACGGATTTTTTTTTTCCTCTTCTTCTTCTCTCCCCAATTTTAAATGAACCGTCCATCTTTTCGCTCAGCACGAACGTGGCACAGCGTGTGTAGGAATTCTTCCTTGTTGGGAGCACTGCCCTCGGGGCAGCCGTTTCGGCAGCGCTGGTTTCCCGAGAGCAGCGGGAGCCTGCACTGGGGATGGGAGGTAAGTGACAGACGGACGGACACTCGAAGCCGCGCTCCAGCCCGGAGCCGCTGAACCTGACAGCTGGTTTGCTGGTCTGTCTGCCTGCTGGACGGGGACAGTTTTCACGCACGGTTCCGCACGGTACCTCCGGGTGCTGGCGTGGCTCTCCAAACGAAAGGGAGGTCCGATTCTCTGGGGGTGATGGGGGTGCGCGGCAGCAGCGGCCCGGGTCACCCAGGGGACCAGAGGAGAGCCGGGCAGCCAGCGAGAGCAGGTTCCATCCAGCCGGCTGAGCCTGCCGCCCTCTCTGCGGCCCCTTCTGCACGCCCTCACCCTTCACCGAGCCTTTGTTTCTTAATTGTTTGACACTGATCACCTCTGATTACAATTAGGGGGAGATGGATACTGGTTCCAGCTCCCCTTCTCACCCCCCACCCCACCCCCGTCCCTCATGGAGAATGCATACATATGTGAGGGTCCTCTTTCGCCACCCTATAGGTTTAACACCTTGTCTGAAAAAGCTGAAAGCCTGGGCAGGAGGGGAATTCTCCGTGAAAACCACCATGTTCCTCCTTACTGGCACTGCATAGAACGCACACAGATATGTTTTAGGAGGTCAACTTCTGACTGAAAATAGCTCAGCCCACTGTGCTGCGGAAGCCAAGTTATGATCTGATCGTTTGCTGGTTGTGCTTTTAACAGAAAGTTACTCTTTGTGATTCATGTTGTTTTCCAAGGCTCTGGTTTATTCTCACGCAAGTTGTGATAGTAAAGAAGAGGAATGTGGCATTGTGATGTGTTCTGTCTAGCCGTGTCCTCCACTTGTCTCGCTTTGATACGTTTCTCTACTGGTCTGCAGCAGGTACCGGTGCCTTCCACAGAGAACAAGAAAATAAACGCCTATTAGTGCTTCTCATCTGTCGTTGTCATGCTTATCTTGAATAATCAATATATTCATTTGAGATTTTCAGATTAAAATGTTATTTCATAAAGCAGGGCTTCCGAAGGAAGGAGCGAAGGCTGTCTTTTGAGTTTTTCCGTGAATGAATCTTCCGATTGAAAACTCGTATGTGAATTCAAAGTTCGCATGATTGGAGACTTGGATTTCCCCACAGTTCCTCAGTGCCCTCCTGGCAATTCTCTCTGCTGCTTCATTTAAGGACCTTTGGACTGCCTAGAGTTGTAGGCAAGGGGAAATCTCTGCCGGGTCTAAGTCAGGTCTCTGTCCTGTACTGAGGCGACTGGTTCCCAGTTTTGCTATTCTTTTATTGGCTAGGACGAACAAATGAAATAATATTTTTCAGCCCCATGTGATATAAACATCTTTACTCATCTCTGCGAAAATGTTCCTTTTTGGTGCTCCTTCAGAAACTATTAAAAATCTCCAATTCAGCTTTATTTTAAATTGCTAACATTTACCATCAAAAGACTTCGATGGTGTGTTTTTCAAAAGTGGGTTTGTATAACTGAACTGTTCTTCAGAGTCTAATTAAGCCCACGTTTATTGTGTGTGTGAGAGAGGGAGCTCCCCTTTGGGTTTACGCAAGGGGAAAAACGACCCCTTTAAGGCTCACAGTGGACACAGAATGGTGCAGTGGCTGTATTCTAGATCATGTTTATTTTCATGTATAGGGTACTTGTAGGGGGAAAAAAACAACAGCCAACACAATAACTCTTAATTGTTTAATATCAAACAATAAAATCCTGTGTATCCATGACTGTCAATAGAAGGCTTTCTGTTGAAAAATTGAAGCTTCTCCAGAAGTGGGAATCATTTATTTAGTAAACAAAGTCAGCCAAGCCAGAGCCCTGTCCCCTGGAACTGTCAAAGGAATGGTTCCTAGGGCCAGAGGCCACAGGCATGCCCTGCTGGGTGTGAGGGAGGGAAGTGGCAGAGCAAAACCGGTCTGTTGGGTTTGCCTGTGAGCCTGCCCTCTCCCATGCAGGGCAGTGGACTTAATGGGTTAGGGACCTCAAATAAATCTGAGATAGCTAAGTTGACCAATTTTGCCAGGTGGCAGCCTGAGCCTTGCAGATTTTGTACTTGAATTAGAATAAACAACATTCCCTACGAGACCTCTGATACTTAAAAATAAAAATTCAAAAGATATCACACTCTTGCTATTAGAGGATTATGCTTTAAGGATGTGGAGAAGATAAAGAATTAGAGGATGCTATCTCTAACCACCCCACAAATAATCTAGAAGGTGAATTAGCATCGTGTCAAGGTTCTGAAAATAGTTTCTAAAAATAGACACTTTTTAACATTAGAATTACCTGGGGGAACCTTTTCTTTTCTTACTTACAATTCAGTGTGGTGGTATATTCAACGTTTCCCCATCACCATAGTCCCTGCTAGAAGGTTGGCTCACCACCCTGCAAAGAGAAACCCCAGTTCTGTTAGTAGTCTTTCTTCCTCAAGCACCATCCCTCTACTCCCATGCCTCTCCACTAGCCCTAAAAACAGACAGACAAGTAACCCCACTGCCATCCAGTTGAATGGCTTCATTTATAGGAAATGGTCAAAACAGGCGCACCTATATAGAAAGCAGGGGTTCTCAACCTGTGGGTCATGACCCCTTGGGGGAGGGTTGAACGACCCTTCCACAGGGGTCGCCTGATTTATAACAGTAGCAAAATTCCAGTTATGAGTAGCAACGAAAATAATTTGATGGTTGAGGGGTCACCGCCACATGAGGAACTGCATTAAAGGACCGAGGCATTAGGAAGGTTGAGAACCACTGATACAAAGGAAGGAGATTACGGGATGCCTAGGGCTAGCGGAGCCCTGGTGGGGCAGTGCCTGAAGTGATGGACTGCTAAGCCCCGGATCCAAGGTTCGCACCCACCTGTTCCCTGGGAGTCTCAGAAGCCCTCATTGATCCGATGGCTTTGGGTTGGGTTTGGCAGGTGTATGCCTATCGAGGGGTCCCTGGTGACCCAGTAGTTAAAGTGCGTGGCTGATAACCGAAAGCCCTGCAGGTTAAGGCCACCAGCCGCTCCTCAAAAAGAAAGTGGTGGCAGCCTGCAGCCATAAGGATCTAACCCCTACGGGGTAGTTCGACCCTGCCCTGTGTGGTTTATATGAATCAGCATTGACACAGTGGAGTGAGGTATTTGCCACTTACTAAAGGGGCATGTCATACCACTTGTTAGGTCCACAAAGAGCTGTCCACTTCCAGTGTCATTGAAAATATGCACCTCGTGATATGGCCTAGGTATTGCCGTCCCCACTTAACCTGTGAGGAAATCATCACAGAGAGGTTGCTGGCAGAGAGGACACACCAGACCGTGCTCAAACCCAGTTCTAGTTCTGAACCCCGTCCTCTTTCTTCATCCTGTGCACTTGACATTGAATGCCGCCGTGAACTGTTAGTGGTCAAACCCATCACGAAGCTAAGATCTTCTCAAGGCAGGCTCTGGTCTGACAGAGCAAGATACTGGATTCAGTGTTGGCACAGCAGGTGCAGTGGGAGATGGGGGGTGAGGGCAAATGAGACTTGTCATGTGACAGCTAGTCACAGGGGCCAGGCTGGCAGCGTCCCACTCATCAGCAGGAAAGGACCTTGGGGGGCAGAAGGCCTGGGAGAATGACTGGAGGGAATGGATGGTGGGAAGACCATGAGGCAGCAACCAGCCAAGGCAGCGGAGTTTTCATTCGGGTACTCAACGGCTTACTAAGCATTTACCATGTGTCTTGGGTACACAGCCCCGAATGAAACAGACAACAGTCCTTGTCCTCTTGAGGCTTATTTTGTTCTACATAAATTATGTAACATGTTCCCACTGTCCTAAGTGCTAGGGGGAAACAGAAAGGGAGGAGGGGAATGGGGAATGCAGAGAGGGGCTAAAGTCCAAGGGACTTTTCATCAAATGGTTACCATGGAGATAAGAGGATGCTCTCTTCTCCTGTGAACAGTTACAGCTTCGGAAACCCACAGGGAGTTAAACCCACAGGGAGTTCTACCTTGTCCTGTAGGGTTACTGTGGGTGGGAGTCGAGGGAAGTGAGTGTTCTAGTGTAGCTGGAGATGCCTCCAATAGATTGAGCAGCCATCAAATGGAGGGAGGGGTCTGTGACTGACTGAGTCAGGCACCTTTGGGTAAATCCAGGGCTTGCTAAGTCCTAAAAGTCCAAGTGTAGTTAAGATAGACTTTTATGTGTTTTGTTCACTTTTATGTGTTCAGTGCTTGGCACATCAACTAACAAACAAGCTCACGGCCATCGAGTCCATGCTGACTCACAGTGACCCTGTAGGACAGGGTAGACCTGCCCCTGTGGGTTTCCAAGACAGTAACTGTTTCCAAGAGTAGAAAGCCCCCTCTTTCTCAGCAGCCCAAGATGTAACCACTATGGCACCAGGGCACAGAGACACTCTAGAAACATTTATTTATTATATGAGTTTGTTTGGATTAGCCATCCTTCCATTCCAGGGCAGGTGTTTTCAAACTTCAGGAACTTTTTCAGTTTGCTTATGGACCTCCTAGGATAGCGCCTCCGAGTGTGTGGGGGTGGGGAGAGTATGTGTGTGTGGGTATGAGTGTGTGTGTGTGTGAGTGTATGCATGTGGATATGAGTGTGTGCGTGTGTATGGCCTTCCCTTGATCCGAACTTTATTAGAGTTCTTAAGAGCAAACTCCACCCCCTTGGCACGTCATTATCTGCTGTGGGTCTGAATGGGCTCGAGACCACCTAACGACTTGATGGCCCATGGCAGGCTCACGTGTGGTGAAAGACTGTTGCGTTACTTCTGGCCCATACCGACCCCAGAGGATGGGGTAGAACTGCCCCTGTCGGTTTCCTAGGCTTAAATCGATGTGAGAGTAGGAAGCCTCATCTGTCTTCCTCCAAGTAGCCGGTGCTTTCAAACTGAGGTTAGCAGCCAGACGCATCCTCACTGTGCCGCAGGGTTCCTTAAGGACAGGAAGACCCACAGCACCTCCCGTTGTAACCGTGGCCCCTGTGGGCGCCGGAACGTGACTGCACTGCCTGCTCTCACAAGCTTTACTGTAAAAACC